TGGTTCTAGTCCCGGTCAGGGCGCCGGATTCTGTCCCGGTTGCCCCTCTTCCAGGCCAGCTCTCTGCTGTGGCCAGGGAAGGCAGTGGAGGATGGCCTAAGTCCTTGGGCCCTGCACCCCATGGGAGACCAGGAGAAGTACCTGGCTCCTGCCATCGGATCAGCACGGCGGCCATTGGAGGGTGAACCAACGGCAAAAGGAAGACTTTTCTCTCTGTCTCTCTCTCTCACTGTCCACTCTGCCTGTCAAACACACACACACACAAATACACCCATATTGTCCTCCTGCTTAAAATTATACATTGGCTTCCTATAGCCTAAAGTTGTGGTCTGTAAAGTGAGGCACCCACTTGCTGCATGGTCTCAAGACCATCCCCTGAGATGTAATAGGAAAATATTAGACCTTCTATTTTTGTTTTATTTATTTATTAGAGAGAGAGTGTTTCTCTCGCTGCTGGGCCACTCCCCAGTGCCCACAACAGCTGGGGCTGGGCCAAGACCGAAGCTCGGAGCCAGGAACACAATCCAGGATTCTCACGTGGATGAAGGAGCTCAATGACTTGAGCTATCACCGCTGCTGCCCAGGGTTTGCACTAGCAGGAAGCTGGAGTCACGAGTTGGAATTGGGAATTGAACCCAGAAACTCCAATGCGGGATGCAGGCGTCCCCACAGCGAGCTAAGCGCCTGCTCCTCTACTCGCTTTTTATCCTAACATGGTGATATCTGGCAAGACTGCAGTGTAATATCACAGGATATTGACGGTGATAGAGTCAAGATAGAGAACTTTCCATCGCCACAAGGATCCCCTGTGCCCCCTTTTATAGCCACGCTCACCCCTCTCCTACTCCAAACCCTCCTTAAGCCCTGTAGTTAGCATTCTGTGGGTACATTTCAGGAATGCTATAGAAATGAAATCATACACTCTGTATGCTCTTGGGCTTGGCTGCGAGCCCTCAGCACACTTCACTGGAGCGTCGTCCAGGTCGTTGCATTTCCCACGAGTTCATTCCTTTTTATTGTTGAGTAAGACAGTATTTCATGATACAAATGCACCGATTTGTTTAACCACTCACCCATTAAGAGACATCTGGGTTGTTTCTATTTCAGATAAATGTTTGTGAACAGGTTTTTATGTGAACATCAGTTTTCAGGGATAAATGCTCAGTAGTGCAATTGTTGGGCTGTTTGGTGATTGCATATTTAGTTTTATGAGAAGAAGCTACCAAGCTGTGTCCCTAAAGGGCTGTGCTGTTTGCACGCACTCCAGCAATGTCTGCGGCATCCACTTTCTCCACATCTTTGCCAGCATTTGGTCTTGTCATCCTTTTTTTTTTTTTTTCTTACAGCCATTCAGATAGGTGAATTGTAATATGACTTTAATTCTCATTTTCCTGATGGGTTTTCATGGTGAACTTTGTTTCATGTGTTTACTTGATATTTGTATCATCTCATGGTCAGATGTCTATTCATCTCTTTTGTCCATTTTCTGATTGGATTGTTTGTTTTTTACTATTGAATTGTGAGTTCTTTATGTATCCTAGGTTACGCATCATATATGTGGCTTGGCAAATATTTTCTCTCCCTCCTATCTTTTTATCCTCTTAACAAGATCTTTCACAGAGCAAGTTTTTAATTTTGGTATACTACTCATTTGTCAATCTTCGCTTTTATAGCTCATGCTTTTGGTGTCAAGTCTAAGAACTCTCTGCCTAGTCCTAGATCTGAAAGAGTCTATCCTATGGTGTTTTCCAGAAGTTTTATAGTTTTATCTTTAAGGCCATGATCCATGTTGAATGAATTTTTGTATAAAGTATACAGTTTAATTTGAAGTTCACTTTTTTGCTGATGAGTGTCCAGCTGTGCCAGCACCATTTGTTGAAAAGGTTATCTTTCTGCCACTGCATTACTTTTGTACTTTGATCAAAAGTCAGTTTAGTACAGGGCAGCGTTGTAGCTTAACAGGTTAAACCATCCTTTATCAGAGCGCCAGTTCAAGTCCTGGCTGCTCCATTTGCAATCCAGCTCCCTGCCAATGCCCCTGGGAAGGTAGTAGAAGATGGGCCAAGTGCTTGTGCCCCTGACACCCATGTGGGGAACCTGATGGACTTCTTGGCTCAAGGCTTTCTGCTTGTCCCAACCCTGGCTGTTGTGGCCGTTTGTGGAATAAACCATGGGTGGAAGATCAATTGATCTCTCTCTCTCCCTGTTTCTGTCACTCTGCCTTTATGAATACATATATATATATATATACACACACACACACACACACACATACATACATTTTTAAAAAATATTTATTTGACAGGCAGAGTTACAGAGAGGCAGAGGCAAAGAGAGAGAAGTTTTCCATCCACCAGTTCACTTCGCAAATGGCTGCAATGGCAGGAGCTGGGCTGATCTGAAGCCAGGAGCCAGAAGCTCCTCCCAGGCGCAGGTGCCCAAGGACTTGGGCCATCTTCTATTGCTTTCCAGGCCACAGCAGAGAGCTGGATCGGAAGTAGAGCAGCTGGGACTTAAACCGGCACCCATATGGGATGCTGGCATCACAGGCTGTGGCATTATACACTATGTCACAGCGCCAGGTCCCATAACACATGTTCTTGATTGCTGTAACTATATAATGTGTTGACATTTGATAGATTGATTTGACCACTGTATTCTTTTTCAAAAATTTTTGAGCTATTTTAGTTCCTTGTCTTTAATTACACATTTTAGAATTATCTTGTCTATATTTATAAAGACATCCTGTGGGATTTGGGTAGGAATTACATTAAATTGTGTATCAATTCGAGGAGAACTGGTATCTTTACTTTGTTGAGTCTTCCACCTCATAACAGTATATGTGTGTTACTCCATTTATATCTTCTTGGATTGTCATCGTTTCTGTAGTTTTCAGCATACACGTTCTGCACGTGTTTGGTGAGATTTGTTAGTATTGCTTTCTTTTCCCTCTTTCAGAGATTATGGATAATGTTGTGTTTTTTCTTTGGTGTTCATGTGTTCATTGCTAGCACCTAAAATAGAATTAATTTGTGCATGTTTCTCTTGTGCCTTACTGATAGGTTATGCTTCTTGAACTCAGCCATTCTAGAAATTTTGTTTTGATTTTTATATTTATTCTTTGGAATTTTCTATGTAACCATTATGTCACTTATAAACAGAAGTAGGTCTGTTTTCCTTTTTTTTTTTTTTTTTTAAGATTTATTTATTTATTTATTTGAAAAGCAGAGTGAAAGAAAGAATCTGGAAGTTGTTCCAGGTCTCCCACAGGGGTGACAGGGGCCCAAACACCTGGGCCGTCTGCGTTCCCAGGCTCAGTAGCAGAGAGCTGCATCAGAAGTGGAGGAGCCGGGACTCAATCCCGCACCTGTATGGGAGGCCAGCATCGCAGGTGGTGGCTTTACCTGATCAACGCTGGTCCAGCAGATGCTCGTTGTTAACTTAAGAACATTCCTCTGTATTTTACTGCGTGTTGCTTTTTTTTTTCTTAATCACCAACAAGTATTGAGTTGTCATATACTTGTTCAAAAGTTTTATTTATTTAAAGCCAGAGAGGGGGACACTGATTTGGGATGATCATCTTAGCTGCTACAGTAAGTACCTGCTCATAACATAACTTTTTATGATCTCAATTGATTTCATGTTGTTTTTCTTCTTTAGACTCATTTTTTAAAAAAAAGATTTATTTATTTATTTGAAAGGCAGAATTACAGTCTTCCATTGCTGGTTCACTCCCCAGATGGCCAGAACAGCGGAGCTGGGCTGATCTGAAGCCAGGAACCAGGATTCTGGGTCTCCCAAGCGGGTGCAGAGACCCAAGCAGTTGGGCCATCTTCTGCTGCTTTCCCAGGCGTGTTAGCAAGGAGCTGGATTGGAAGTGGAGCAGCCAGGAATCGAACCAGCACTCATATGGGATGCTGGCATCACAGGCGGCCACTTTACCTGCTACTCCACAACGCCAGCCCCTGGGAGTTTTTAAATTATGAAATAGGGGCCAGCACTGTGGTGTAGTGAGTAAAGTCGCCGCCTGCAGCGCCGGCATCCCATATGGGTGCCAGTTGGAGTCCCGAGTGCTCCACTTTTGATCCAGCTCTCTGCTAATGTGCCTGGGAAAGCAATGGAAGACAGCCCAAGTGCTTGGGCCCCTGCACCCACATGGGAGACCTGAAAGAAGCTCCAGGCTTTGAACCGGCCCAGCTCCGGCCATTGTGGCCATTTGGGGAATGAACCAGCGGATAGAAGACCTTTCTCTCTGCCTCTGCCTCTCTGTGACTCTGCCTTTCAAATATATTAATAATTTAAAAAATAAATCACAAAATAAAATTCCTTAATAGTTACAGAACTATTCAAACTTTCTGTCTCATATTGGATGAGTTGTAGATTGTATTTTTCCCAATTTGTCCATTTTGTAGAGGTTGTCGGATTTGTGTGAGTGGAGCTGTCGTGTTTCCTGACTGTTGTCTTGGTGTCTATAGGGACTGCAGGTGATACCCTGTAATTTGTATATTGGCAATTTGGGTCTTTTTCTTTCCTCTGTCAATTTTCCTATATGTTTTCAAAGAACTGGCGCTTTGAATTTCAGTGAATGTCTCTGTATTTTTCAACTTCTTTGATTTCTGCTCTTGTCTTTAGTGCTTCCTTCCTTCTACTTGCTGTAAGTTTTTTTGTGCTGATTTTCTATGTTCTTGAGATGCAGCTTAGATTGTTGAGACTTCTTTTCCAATATATGCAGTGAGTGCTATACATTTTGCTCTCAGTGGTCTGTTAACACAAATTTTAATTATATTGTATTTGCTTTTTCATTTAGTTCCATAGATTTTTTTTTTCTCCCTTAAGACTTTCTCTTTCACTGATGGGCTATTTTGAAGTGTGTCAGATTTTCCTGTTACCTTTCAGTTATTGATTTTTAGTTTTATTCCATTGTGAACACGCTGAGAACACGCTGTCCAGCTGGTGGGGGTTTGTCTTGCGACCGGGATGTGGTCTATGTTATGGTCTTGGAGCACGGGGACTCACCTGCACTCTGCTGTGTGGGGAAGGCATCTCTCCTCACAGGGAATCGGTCCAGATCCTGCTTCTACGTCGGTGTGGATTTTTCTCCCCGGTTGTTCTGCCGGTCGTTGAAAAGGTCGTGGAAGTTTCTGAGTGAAATTGTGGATTTGTCTACTTCTTTCTAACCTGCAGCTTTTGCTTCACATAATTCACAATGCTATTGGATCACTGTGTCTTCTTGCTGGATGGAACCTTTTATCATTGTATAACAGAAATGAAGCAATAAGAGAAACACAGAGGGTAAAGGGTGCTGGGTAGGGATGGAAGTTCAGGCTCCCTGTGTGATTTAGGGGAAGGGAAAATTCAGGTTTTCTTTTGAAGTTTATTGTCAGGTGGTTACCAATTTAAAAACACACTCTGCTGGTGAGGCTGGACAGGCCCCTCAAACATTGCTTTGGGGATTGTGCGTCGGTACAACTGGCATAAGCAGTACTGTGGTAATAGCTAACAAGATCACAAACTCACACAGCCTTTGGCCAAGCAGTTCCACTTCCAGGAATTTATCAAAGATGTACGCACGCGTGTGTGCGATGACGTTAAGAGCAGGAGATGGGAAACACTCTAAATGTCCTTCAGTAGGAAACCTGCTAAATAAATACTGCAACGGCCCACACAGTGCAATACGGAGGCAGCCATTTTTAGAAAGGAGATGTGTATTACGCGGAACCATCTTCAAGATATAATGTTAAATGGAGGGGGAAAGTCAGGTGCAGGAACAGTGAATCTAGTATGCTATTATTTGCTTAAAAGAGAAAAAAAGAACACATAGACAGGTATTTGCCTATAACACAAACAAAAATGTCTTAGGCCAGATATAGGAGAAACTTCTAACAATACTTCCTGGGGGTCCTCTCATCCTCTCGCTGAAAACCCAGGGGGCAAATAACCCCTCCAAGTGCAGGCTCTGATGATGCTTCTGGGCAGGCTGCAGGAGACCCCTGAGACCCTAGCCAGAGGTTGTCCGTGTGGACCCTGCTCCTGCCCTTTGCACCTGCCCTTGCCCTGTTTGCTTTAGCTGACACAAGACGCCAGGGCTCCGAGGGGCGGGGTGGGGTGGAGAGAGCAGAAGCCTGCCCATTGGCCACGGGGCTCTCCAGGCTGCCCACACCCGCATCCCCAGTTGCTCCCTTGGAGTAATTGGAAGACTTCATGGCTGGGGAATGGGTCCCCGCGGCTGAGGACGCTTGCTGATGGAGAGGGGCGGGATTCTGCAGCCCTGGGGAGACCCACCTGCCACTCCACCCCATCCAGGTGTCTCTGCCCTCCACCCACCACGTACTGGCCCTCTCACACGTGGCCCTCACGATGTGCCCTGGAGTCTCCCCTGGGAGGTACCTTTTAGAGACCCCAGGCCCGCACTCTTCTGCCTCGCTCAGTCCTTCTCTTCTCCGACTGCTGGGGCCTTGGTGATGGGTAGTGGCAGCAGAGGGGTCCCAGGAGCTGCCGACTTCCACCCCTGCAAGCTTCCGCCTTTGATGGAGCTTTCCAGGCTCAGGATGTATGAGAATATTCTTCACTAGCCACAGGCCCTATCTGAGCCTCAGTCTTTCTACCTGTAGAATGGGTGTATGTAAGTGTGCTGAGGGTGAGGGTCTGCTTATGTGTGTCTTAGGTATAATTTCATGTTCTCGAAGCTGTCTGATTATGTGCCTGTACCACTTCTTCCAAGAGGATCAGGAATGTGGTTTTGTCACCAGCTGTATCCCTACGTCCAGTTCAGTTCCTGGCACACAGAATGTACGTGATGTTTGTGGGATGAGTTAGTATTCCCAGACACCTTCCCTGGGACCCCACTGTGATGGCTGCTGTCTCTTGGCTTCAACCCAGAGTGCTGTCTGTCCCTGGGGCAGGGGGCAGGGGGCAGGGGTTCCCCAGGTCTCTGATGTCCCCTGCTGATGCTGGGACCTGGCTCCATGGAGCTGATAATCTCTGGGGTCACTTCCCACAGTAGTCTTCCCACTTCATTCTCACATTTGCTGGGAGATTGGGCAAGAGACTTTAGGAATCACGGGGTCAGGATGCTGCCACCCCCTTCACTTCCTTGGTGACAATGCCACAGAGCAATGCAAAGTGAACGCCAGGTGCTGTTGGAACTTGCCTGGAGTGGGGACAGCGGGGGGGGGGGGGGGGGGGGGGCGGTTGCAGACCCAGTGAGGGGTGAGATCTGAGGGTCACTGACAAAGGGAGAAAAGCAGTTTCTACTGGGAGCCGTGAGGGTGCCCACCCACTTCCCCTCTGCCCTTTGCTGAGAACGAGTCCTGATAGGAGTCACTACCCCACTCTGCCAGGAGAGGGCACTCTGCTCCCAGCTTTGGCGTCAGCCTGCCACCCTCCAGCTCCTTGCAGTTACTGCTCCCTCCCTCCCGTTGCAGAATGAACTGAGGCGCAGCGATGCTGGGCAGACCCTGCGAGTGAGTGGGCTTTGACTTGTCTGTGGGCCTCCACCTGGGGAAGCTGCCACTCAGTGCCCACAGTGTCGCTCAGAATAATGCCCCTGACCAGCATTTACTGAACACGGCCTGTGCTCCACCCATATTCTGAGTTCTTTCTAAATTCCCTAGAAGGTAAATTTTGCAGGGATACCCATCTTGCAGATGAAAAAACTGAGGCCTACAGGTTTTTAAAATATTTTATTTACTTTTCTTCCCCCGCACAATACAAATGCTTTAACAATGAGCCGAGTCAACGGGACATCTGGGAACCCGCTGGCGGCATCAGCGCAGCCTGCAAGCCTCCGGCTCTGACTCCAGGGTGTGCACATCGCCCTTCCTCACGGGGCGGCTCATGTCGTCCGTGAGCTCCACACGCACCTGCACGCCCTGTCCCTGAGAGCTGGTCCTGCCCGGCTGCACACTCTACTCGTGTCCTTGTTGGCGGCTTGCAGCGGTCGGGGGGAGAGCTTTCATTTTTTTTTTAGAGATTTATTTTATTTATTTGAAAGACAGAGTTAGAGAGAGAGAGAGACAGACAGACATAAAGATCTTCCATCTACTGGGTCATTCCCCAAATGGCTGCAATAGTCAGAGCTGGGCCAGGCCAAAGCCAGGAGCCAGGAGCTTCATGGAAGTCTCCTATGTGGGTGACGAGAGTCCAGGGACTTGGGCCATTTTCTGCTGCTCTCCCAGGCTCGTTAGCAGGGAGCTGCATGGGAAGCAGAGCAGCCAGGACTCTAACCACTGCCCATACGGGATGCTGGCGCTGCAAGTGGAGGCTTAGCCCCTATGCCACAGTGCCCTCCCCACCACCAGGCCTAGAGGTGTCCATTCACTCACAGTCAGGAAGCACCAATGCTCTCTGACTCCAAAATCGCTGCCGTAACGATTGTGCTCCGCTGCCTCCCATCATACTCCCCGCCCCCACACACCTTGCACACTCATTTGAGAGTGCAAAGACAGAAGAGATAAGAGATAAGACCTGGGGTTCCATGTGGTGAACACACACAAATACAGATGCTAACCGCCCCCCCACATGCACATTTGTTCACATCCCCCAAATACACAAATACGTATGCTTGCACACCACCAAAAACACCCCCACACATACATGTTCTACTCACGCACCCTGTGCATCCATAGTCACGCACACACATTCACCTTTCCCACTGTGCGTGTTAGCAAGGCCTGGCCTCTAACATGGGCCTGTGCTGTGACTGCCAGCGAGGAGCCTGAGGTTCAGCTAATGAGCTGTGCCGGTTTTTTGTTTGTTTGTTTTTTTAATTAATTAATTTATTTATTGACAGGCAGAGTTAGACAGTGAAAGAGAGAGACAGAGAGAAAGGTCTTCCTTTTTCCGTTGGTTCACCCCCCAAGTGGCCACTACGGTCGGTGCTGTTGCCCGTCCAAAGCCAGGAGCCAGGTGTTTCCTCCTGGTCTCCCATGCGGGTGCAGGGCCCAAGCACTTGGGCCATCCTCCACTGCCCTCCCGGGCCAGAGCAGAGAGCTGGACTGGAAGAGGAGCAACCGGGACAGAATCTGGCGCCCAACTGGGACTAGAATCCGGGGTGCCGGCGCCACAGGCGGAGGATTAGCCTAGTGAGCCGTGGGGCCGGCCAAGCTGTGCCGTTTTTTGACACACACCCCCCCCACTTCCCTTCCATTCAGTCCACAAACTTTGCTTCCTGCCAGGGGAGCACATGACTCAGACCTGGCCCTTGCCCTAAAGGAACTTCCTCGCCTGGCAGGGAGAAAGGCCCCCCAGTGACCACACAGCTTGTCAATGCCCAGGCAGGTCTGGGCAGAGCTTCCGTGCAGGGAGGGGCTGACTCACCAGGCCCGGGGGCTCCGGGACCTCCCAGAGGAGGAGGTACCCACCCGGATCTTCAGATGAGCCAGGCAGAGAAGCAGAGCCCACGTCGGCAGAGTCATGACAGATCAAAGAGTGGGGAGAAACAGCGAACGTTGGGCACTTTGGGTGCGGTACTCCATCTAACCCCTCCACAACGCTACGGGGCAGACACAGCGATGAACCGCATCACGTAGGTAGGTAGAACAGGCTCGGACGGCTGAGCTGGTCAGCTGCAGAGGCAGGATCTGAACCCTGGCTCCAGGCTATAGGCTTACAGCCCCAGGGCCCTGTGCTGAGAGTGTGCTCACTTCTGCTCTGCTCCTCACACACTCTCTCCCCCAGCGCTGCAGGGGTGCTGACAGGGGCAGCACACAGCATCACTCCCCTTATATCCCGTCCAGGAGCCTGCGTTGGCTCACTGAGTTAAGCCGCTGCCTGCAGTGCTGGCATCCCATAGGAGCGCCTGTTGGAGTCCCAGTTTTTTCTCTTCCAGACCAGCTCCTTGCTAATGCACCTGGAAAAGCAGCAGAGGATGGCCCAAGTGCTTGGTCCCCTGGCACCCATATGGGAGACCTGGAGGAAGCTCCTGGCTCCTGGCTCCTGGCTTTGGCCTGGTTCAGCCCCAACCATTGCAACTATTAGGGGAATGAATCAGTAGATGGGAGGTATTCTCTCTCTCTCCCTTTCAAATAAATAAAATTTTAAAAAAACTAATAATATCTAAGTGCCTGGGGCCTCCTTTGTCCAGTGCCACAAAAGAAAGCCATTTTTCCAAGGAACTCCCAGGGAAGCGAGGTTTGCCCTTAGGGCCCGCACAGTTTGTTTTGACTTCGGCAGACAGCTTTGTAGCATGTACTGCACATCCCTCTAAATTCATCTCTGTGGACTGAAAGCTCAGAAGGTTGTTAACTCCTGCAAGGCAGCAAGCAAATCGTGAGCCTCTGTGCATCACAACAGGCGCGCTCAGGCGTGGCCCAGGACAGCTGCCTAGTCAAGGTTCTGCAGGACAGAACGCGCTAGACATTAGATGAGTTCACTTGGAAATCCATATGCCCAGCTTCTTTCAAAAAACATTATCAGAAGACCCAGCAACTGGGCCTACGTGGTTGGCTGCCCTCTGTAGACGGTGAGTGAGTTCCCCACGCCTACATATGTCCCCAGCCCTAGCCACTTCAGTTGAGCCAACTGACACAGTTTTCTTAATGGCCCAGGTCCAGTCAATAAGCATTGATTGGTGTTCTCATTTGCCCGGCACCCACAGAGGTGTTTGCCCCCCCCCCCCGCCCAGGCTAGATGTCCCCACATTGCAGGACTTCCTGAATCCCGTGTGGGTTCTGATGGACCTCCCTGCCCCCTTTTCTCAGCCGTCACCTCTTGCTCATGGCTGTCCCTCTGATGGGGTTGAACCTCCCTGGCCAGAGGCAGGGGCTGCTGCGGGACCACGGCCGCTGCTGACGGCCACTCCACTGGGAGTCCGGATGGGACCTTATTTGGAAAAAGGGCCTTTGTGGATACAGTGCACTTGAGGGATTTGAGATGAGACCATCCTGGTGTAGGGTGGGCCCTGAGTCCAGTGTCAGGTGTCCTCAAAAGGGAAGGGGAGAAGACTGGCGCAGAGGAGGCTGCGTAAGGACGGGGACAGATGGGAGCTGCACTGCAAGGCTCGCCGAGGACTTCCGGCGGTCACCAGGAGCCAGGAGAGAAGTGGGCGCAGATCCTCCCTCCGCGAGAGCCGGCCCTTCCTGATGCCTTGACCTTGGGCTTCTGGCCTCCAGCCTGCGGACAGCATACATTTCTGTTGTCTGAAGTTCAGTAGCCCTAGGAATCTAATGTCCCTGGGAGACGATGGAGGAGGCAAGCGGGGTGGACGCCTGATCCTGGTGACTCTAGTGCCTCAGTTTCCCTCGTCCTCCCTCTGAGAAGTGCAGGGACAGCAACGAGACTTGTCCGGGCGGTCATTCCCCACCCCCACCCCAAGGCCTCCAAAGCCTCCCAGGGAATGAATCCTCCTGGCAAGCTGTGGTTTAATGTGCAACGCGTTTCCTTTTAAGCATGCATGAGGAAATGACCTAAGGACGCCCTCTTGGGTGTGCGGGTGGGTCTCTAGGGAGGCGAATCAGCTCTCCTGGCGTCCTAAGCATCAGGAATACATAGTTGGTTCTCAGGCCGAAAGAGACAGGGAACCGGACGAACGGAAAGAAAGAGGGCAGGCGTGGGGACCGGCCTCTGGCTCGGGGGTTAAGGTGTGGCTTGAGACACCCACATCCCACATCACAGGGCCTGGGTTCAAGTCCTGTCTCCACATCCAATCCAGCTTTCCGTCAGTGCACATCCTGGGAGGCAGCTGCGTGGGTCCCTGTCACCCACATGGGAGACACGGAGTAGCTGCTAGACTACTGCCTTTTAGGGAGCGAACCAGAGGACACAAGGTCTCTGTCTGTCTCCTCACTGCCTTTCAAATAAAATGAACATAGCTGGCGCCGCGGCTCACTAGGCTAATCCTCCGCCTTGCAGCACCGGCACACCAGGTTCTAGTCCCGGTCGGGGTGCCGGATTCTGTCCCGGTTGCCCCTCTTTCAGGCCAGCTCTCTGCTATGGCCAGGGAGTGCAGTGGAGGATGGCCCAGGTGCTTGGGCCCTGCACCCCATGGGAGACCAGGAGAAGCACCTGGCTCCTGGCTCCTGCCATCGGATCAGCGCGGTGCGCCGGCCGCAGCGCGCCAGCCGCGGCGGCCATTGAAGGGTGAACCAACGGCAAAGGAAGACCTTTCTCTCTGTCTCTCTCTCTCTCACTGTCCACTCTGCCTGTCAAAAAATAAAAAAAAATTAAAAATAATTAAAAAATAAATAAAATGAACATAGATAATTTATTTTTCAAAAAATGAAGAGGGGGGCTAGTGTTGTGGTACAGAGGATTAAGCTGCCACCTGTGATGGCGGCATCCCCAGAGAGCACCAATTTGGGTTCTGGCTGCTCTGTTTCCAATACGGCTCCCTGCTAATGCACCTGGGAAGGCAGCTGAGGATGACCCAAGTCCTTGGGTCCTTGCCACCAATGTGGGACATCCAGATGGAGTTCAGTCTGAGGCATGGCCACTATGGCTGTTTGGAAAGTGAACCAAGAGATGGAGGCTCTCTTTCTCTCTCTGTCTCTCCATCTCTCCCTCTCTCCCTCTCTCTCCCTCTGTAACTCTGCCTTTCAAATAAGTAAGTAAGTAAGTAAAAACAGGAAGAGGGCATGGGTGCAGTTTCTCAGACAGAAGTAGTGAGAGAAGCCTGGATCGTGTCCAGCTCTGCCTGGTTTCCTTTTCTCACTTCTCCCCTCTCTCGTATTCCAGGTACTTAGTGGGTGCCGGGACTGCACCTGCAGTACCACAGCTTCCCCTCTGTCATAGAGAAAGCTGCACACCGTGATCCTCAGAGGCCTTGTGGGGACATTGTGGGTTGCCTGTTGCCCAGCTGGATCCTGAACTACAAGCTCTGACAGTAGCCCCTTAACCTCGGGCATCCAGGACGGGTCCTCACAGCCACGCTGGGACTGGTCAGGGCCGGGATCACCACGCGTTTTACAGAAGAGGAGGGATGAGCACTTGCCTAAGAGAGCGGTCAGAGGTAGCTGAGCGTCGGGGGCTCGCCGAGCTCAGCCCGTGTAGGGAAGCTGCTGCACTGACGGCCGTTTGTGGGAAGGAGCGAGTGATGGGGCTGTGTTCTGCGATCCTGGCCTTTGGGGGTGGAGGCGTAGGGCCCCGGAGGACAGAGCTTGGTGTCACCTCCTTGTGGTGGTCTGAGGCTGACTCTGGGTAACTGTCTCCCCTGGCATTAGTTATCCATTGCTGCCTAACAAACTAAGCCATAGTGTGGTGTGAAACAATAGCAATCACTTATTATTATTATTATTATCTTTTGGGTTTGGGGGTTGGTTGGACTCAGCTCAGCAGTTCTCACTCTGGGTCTGGTGTCGCTACAGTCAGATGGTGGCTGGGCTGGGGCCATCTGGAAGGTTCCCTCACTCGCCTGTCTGCCAGTGGGTGCCATCAGCTGGGATCGGGGTTGGGACTGTCAGCAGGAGACTACATCTGGCTTCTCTATGCGGCCTGGTAGCGGGGTCCGAGGGTGAGTGCCCTAAGAGCGCCGGTACAAGTTCTGTCACCTTTCGTGGTCTAGTGTTGGAGGTTGTGTGGCATCACTGCCACCATAGACCACCTCTTGCTGAGGGGCTGACAAGATTCCAGGAGAGCACGAGGGAGGGGAGAGTTGTGACCATGTTTGAAACATACGCTGTGCCACATCAGGGCAGGGGTGAGCTCTGGAGTCAGATTCCTGGGTTCAGATCCGAGAACTGCCACTGCATGTCCGAGTCTCAGCTTCCTCTTCTGTAAATGGGGCTGATGGTAACAGCTGCTTCATGGGATGTCTGTAAGGCTCAGGCAACACAAAGACCCAAAGTGCAGGGCACCTGACACATGCCCAAGGCTCAGGGGGTGTCACTGGGGTTGAGACAGGTCATCATACTAAGCTCTGGCCAGTGTGGCTCATTACCCCTGGCTATTGCCAGTTTGTAGGAACGTGATGAAGACTGGGGGAGTTTTTGGAGATGTGTGTGCAGGCGGGTCCATGCGCGCCTGCCACAGGAGCCGAGCTGAGGCAGTGAGTGAGTGGATGCTGTCAGTGTGGGTGGAATGGAACTGGCAAGAGTCTGCACGCGTGAGACACAGGCAGGGCTGTGGGTGTGTGAGTGTGGGAACATGGGGAGTGAGATGTCCGAGGCTTCAAGTGTGCACAGTTAGGACCGGGTGTGAGCAGACAGAGCAACGGGGACATAAAGGCTGTGGGTATGGCCAAGCACATCGGTTAGAGTCCATGTGCAGGTACTCCTGAGGGTTTGTATTTTCCCAGAGGTCTTTGTTTATGCCTGGTGCTCTCAACAAATGAGGAAATGGAGGAGCAAGTTAACACTTTCAGAGCATTCCAGGGATGTTCCGATCAACTGACCCCTGGACATGATGACTGTCTGGAAAGATAAGGCAAGCCCAGGCCAGGGGCATCAAAACAGACTTTCGCTGAAGTTCATGACCGCACTTGGCCTGGGAACCAGGAACCCCGTTAGGGCTGACTGCTTCCCACACACAGTTGCCCCTTCAGTTTGGATGGCAGTTCCACACTTGGCCTTCCTCCACATCCCCTTGCTGTTAGCAGCCAGTCTGTTTTTCCACTCAAAGACGTCTGTTGAGTAGCCACTAGGAGGGAGGCACCGTGCCGAGGCCGGGGACTTCAAGCAGAGCCTCCTGTCCTGGAGGAGCTGCGTCCTGTGAAGGGAGCCTTACCTGCCGGGAGGGACAATGACCAGTGACCATGGCGGTGAGTGAAGAAAAACAAAGGGAGGGGGAGTGACTTGGGAAGTGGGAGACGCTGTAGAGGAGGCCGGGGAGGCAGAGCACAGAGCGCGCATGGGTGTCTGTGGGAGACGTTAGGCAGAGAGAACCACAGGGACCAAGATCCAGGGTGGGAATATGCCTGGTTCATTGCAGGAGACAAGGAGGCTGGTGAAGGGGCAGTGCCATGAGCTGAGGCAGAGGGGAGGAAGTTAGGTCATGGATCTGCCAGGAGCCGTGACCCGGAGCTCTTGCGGGGGAGGGCGACCCTCCTACCTTTCCTGCTCCTTCTCTGCTTCCCTCCCGTGCTCCTAGGGCCGCGAGAAACCACCCTGGTCGTTACTGATAGCTCAAAACAACAGAAATTCATTTTCTCACATCCTGGAGGTCAGACGTCCAAGACCAAGATGTTGGCAGGGCTATTCCCCTCTGAAGGATCTGGAGAAGAATTTTTATTTTCTCTGCCAGCTTCTGGTGGTTCCAGGAGGCCCTTGGCCTGTGGCTGCATAACTCCAATCTCTTCCTTAATTTTCTTTATTTATTTGAGAGACAGACAGAGTGCTTCAATCCACTGGTTCATTCCCCAAATACCTGGAACAACCAGGGCCAGGCCAGACTGGAGCTGGGAGCTAGGAATTCAATACAGGTTAATTACTTGGGCCATCACTGTAAGGTCATCACAAAACAGACCAAACACCAAAGTGAGGGAAAGAGTTTATTGGGGGAAACCCGACAGACCAGAGGGAAGGGGCGAAGAAGGAAAAGAGAGAGAAGAGAAGAGGAATGTAAGAGAGAGAGAGACGAGATAAGATAAAGATCAAGAGAGAGAGAGAGAGAGATCAGGAGACCAGAGAAAGAGAGTCACGTATTCAGGAACAGGTCCTTCTAAAACTTTGGCCGGGGTCAGGATGAGGGGCAGGCAGGGAAGTAGAAGCAGCAAATCCCATTAGGATGGGGGTGGAGCTGACACTGGTGGTTGGGCCATGTGGCCACCTGGCTTCCAGCAATGGCAGCAGGGGCTAGAGCCTAGGATGGTGTCAGGGTGTAGATCACGCCCTCGGTAAGACTGCGCCATTTTACTAACAATCATCGCTGTCTCCCAGGATTTGCATTAGCAGAGAGTAGAATCAGGAGGCAGAGCTGAGAGCTGGAGCCAGGAATCACAACCAGGTACTTCAGTGTGGCACATGGGCATCTTAACCGCTAGACCAAACACTCACTGCTTCTGCCTTCCTTTTCCCATGGCTTTCTCCCTGTGTCTCTCTTCTGTGCATCTCTGATAAAGACACCTGTTATCAGATTAGATAATCCAGAATGATCTCATCCTGAGATCCTTGTGTTAATCATAGCTGCAAGGACCCTTTTTCCATGTGAAATCACAGTCCAGGTTCCAGGGGTCAGCACATGTGCTCTGTAGCTTCCAAATGTTTGTGAACACTCACGTGGTTTGCTACTTGATGTTCTTGTTTGGGAGTCAGTTCCCCCCTCCCTTCCTGAGTGTGACATGCATCTTATCACACCCCATATGTGAGAACTGGGAGCAACTCTCCATCTGCCCTTGGCAGTGTTGCACAAAACCTTATCAGACCCCTGCACTTCCAAACACATACAAAGTCAAGTATTGGATCCACACTTTGAGAGCTTAAATTGTGGCAGGCTGTGGGGAATCCCACAGGAGTCCCAGAAGAGTTACAGAGCACCACTAACCCAAAAAGAAAGAGAAAAGGCAAAACCAAAATGGAGTTACTTAAGCTAAGGCCACTAAGCACCAGGAACTGCCCAGACCATCTGTCAGAACACACAGGTGGTGAGGCCTGATGTGGACTGGGGGACATTACATCATAAGAAGAAGCCAACCAGCTGGCTACTGCATTACTTCACCCACACTACTGCACCACAATTGGCCACACCCAGAAGACCCCCAGCACATCATTGGTTACACCCAAACACCAACATGTGGTTGGTGACACCCAAACAAGGATGAGCCTGTGATTGGTGGCACCCTAGAGCACACCCACCGCCTACCTACCCCAGAAGGGGATAACCAGGCAAACCTCACCACTGCTCTGCATCCCCTCGGGGACCATGGCTCAGTGTGAGTGATGACCAAGTGGGTCCACTGCATCTTGCTGAAACTGCAGGACTCTTCACTGGCCAAAACTCCGCTCACTACCCCGCTGGATCCGACCTCACCTGGAAGTCCCAGCTGTTGCTGGAGCTGACATCGATCCCCCGGGTGACAGCATCGGTGACTTCTCCAACTCTTCACCATCGCTGTCCATCTTAGAACTCCGAGTCTACTGCCCAGGGTGCTGAGCATTCACTGCCCGTAAGTGACTGTCCCAGGTCTGTCTCTCTGAGTGGTAACGGAGACCTTGGACTCTGGACTTTGACGTTTGTGACCATGATACGAACCTTGAGACCGCAGCATTCATATTATGCCCTTAGCCATGAGTGTTTAGATTGATTATGCTTCTTATGCTTTATACTTACTACTATTGCTGGATATTTTTTAGAGATCGTCTTACTCCTAGATGTGTGTTATGACCTGTGGACTAATGATATATTGAGTGGTATTGACCTTTAGATGTGTGCCCTGAATATATATATATATATATATATAGAGAGAGAGAGAGAGAGAGAGAGAGAGAGAGGTATTGAACAATAAATTATATTGAAAAGGCTATCACGGTTCTGTGATTCTTCCCCATGCTCCAACATGTCGCATTAACCATGTCAAACTGTGTGACAAGTGGCGCTAGCGACACGGGACTGCCCTCTGTTGGCTGCCTCTGAAGACTGGAGCGAACTGCCACCAGCTGCACTCTCAGCCGCTTCTCCCGGTGCTGAGCTCAAGCTGTGGCAGGGTGACACCATGTTTACCCTGGAACTGGTTGCCGTGCCTCACCTGCCAGCACTGGCACCGCCCTCCAGCACAAGGGCCCTGTGTCTCCTCGCAGCTCCCTGCCGGGGTGGAGAAGCCAGCATCTCCTGGGAGCCATCGGATAAAGGGACAGGTCCCGCTTTAATCAGATTTTACTTTCTTGCTTCCATCCCAGTTGAACGATGGACTTTAACATTTTGGAACTCACTGTGTGATTAAGATTCCTCGGCTATCAAGCGTACTTCTTGTGGCGTTTGTTCACGTTATTCTCCCCCTTGGAGCATTGTGAACCTAAGCAAACTGTTCTCTTTCCTTAGCAATAAACCTTGTGATTCGCAGAGTCACACCTTGGTCATCTCTGTTTCTACCATATGCAACAAATGAGATGTCACTTTTCAGGAGCCACCATTCAATTCACTGCACATCGTTTGGCTTACCAGAGTCAAGGCAGGGCCCGAGGGGCTCCCTGGGGTTCAGTTTCTGTCTTTGTAAAAAGGGACCACAGTTAGCTGGCACTGTGACTCAGTGAGTTAAACTGGAGCGCCAGCATCCCACATGGGCGCTGCTGTTCAAGTACCAGCTTCTTCACTTCCTATTCAGCTCCTAGCTAATGGCCTAGGAAAGCAGCAGAAGATGCCCCAAGTGCTTGGACCCCTGCCATCCACACGGGAGACCCAGATGAAGATCCTGGCTCCTGGCTTCAGTCTAGCCTAGCCTTGGCTGTTGTGGCCATTTGGGGAGTGAACCAGTGGATGGTTCTCTCAGTCTCTCTCTTTCTCTCTTTCTCTCTCTCTCTCTAACTCTGGCTTTCAAGTAAATAAATAAATCTTAAAGGAAAAAAAAAAAAGAGACCATAGCACAGAAGCCTAGAGTTGCTAAAAAGCAGAGATATAGTTATAAGTGTTGACTCCTTCTATAGTGTTCCATGCATCCTGGGTGTGCCATTTTGAGTTATTATTTGGGGGAGTGTCTGTAAGGCTGCCACAAAACACACCAAACACCAGAGTAAGGGAAATGTTTTATTGAGGAAAACCCAACAGACCAGAGAGAAGGGGCGAAGAAGGAGAAAGAGAGAAGGAGAGCATAAGAGAGAGACAGAGACAGAGGTCAGGAAGATGGAGAGGAAGAGAGAGAGAAAGCCACCTGTGGTCCTTTTAAAACTTTGCCAGAGGGTGGGCAGGGAAGTAGGAGCAGCGAATCCCATCAGGATGGAGTTTGGGCTGACATTGGTGATTGGGCCATGTGGCCACCTGGCTTCCAGCAAGGCGGGGGGGGGGGGGGAGGTAGAACCCAAGATGATGTCAGGGTGTAGATCACACCATAGATAAGACTGTGCGATTTTACTAACAGTTTCCCATGAAGTTATGGGAAAATGGTGGCAGAGAAATTATTATTACCTCGGTTCTTTGTCTCACATGGAAGAAGAATTTCCAAGCGGACAAGCAGAGAGATTTAAAAGATTTATTAGAGTCAAAGACCTCCAGCCAGAGTGGCATTGAGGGGGTTTCCAAGAGAGGAAGAAAAAAAAAAACAAAAGGCCCTGTAGCATTCAGGTTTTTAAATACAATTTTGAAGGAAAAAAAAAATACAACTTGACAATCAGATTGGCATTCAGTTACCAGGCCAGACAAAAACCATCAAAAGGGGCTGGTGCTGTGGTGTAGTGGGTAAAGCTGCCGCTTACAGTGCCAGCATCCCAAGCGAGTGCTGGTTCAAGTCCCAGCTGCTCCACTTCCAATCTGGCTCTGCTATGGCCTGGGAAAGCAGTAGAAGATGGCCCAAATGCACCCATGTGGGAGACCTGGAGGAAGCTCCTGGCTCCTGGTTTCAGATCGGCCAATTGGGGAGTGAACTAGCAAATGGAAGACTTTTCTCTCTCTGCCTCTCTTTCTCTATGTGTGTAACTCTGACTTTCAAATAAATAAATAATCTTTAAAAAAAAGAAAATCAAAAGACCTGATTTACAATTCTCCACACTGTCTGACCTGCTCTCAATAAAACAAAAGTGAGCGGTGCAAGGTGTCCGGCACGTAACAGATCTTCCCAGGCAGACGAATCAGTTAATTCACAGGCTTTTATTGGGGTTCCGCTCCCGGGCGAGGTTCCCCGGTCCCAACAGAGCAACAGAGTGGGGGGCGGGGGAAGTCTCGAGTCAGAGATTGGGAGAGCTCCTTTTATAGATTCAGGGCATGGGAGTTAAAGAGAGCTCATCCATGCACTGGTTCACTCCCCAAATGCTTGCAACGGCCAGGAGCAGGCTAGGCTGAGCCAGGAGCCTGGAACCTAATCCAAGTCTCCCACATTGGTGGCAGGGACAGCACTTCAGCTATTGATATCGAAAATGACCCCCTGCCGGCGCCGCGGCTCACTAGGTTAATCCTCCGCCTAGCGGCGCCGGCACACCGGGTTCTAGTCCCGGTCGGGGTGCCGGATTCTGTCCCGGTTGCCCCTCTTCCAGGCCAGCTCTCTGCTGTGGCCAGGGAGTGCAGTGGAGGATGGCCCAAGTGCTTGGGCCCAGCACCCCATGGGAGACCAGGAGAAGCACCTGGCTCCTGGCTCCTGGCTCCTGCCATTGGATCAGCGTGGTGCGCCGGCCGCGGTGGCCATTGGAGGGTGAACCAACGGCAAAGGAAGACCTTTCTCTCTCTCTCTCTCTCTCACTGTCCACTCTGCCTGTCAAAAAAAAAAAAAAAGAAAAAGAAAATGACCCCCTAAAATATATACGAAAATGTGGCCCCTTAAAGTTCCCCAGAACTCCCATCTAGGTTGCCATATGATATCGGAAATGACTCCCTAAAATACATACGAAAATGTGGCCTCTTTGCGTTCCCCAGAAGGGTCATCTGGGTTGCCACATATGCTACAAGAATTTGGGGTGCCATACGATATAACCATATGCTTATTAATAAATCCCCAATATTAATAAGCGGATCCCAAAGCTACCATCCCGACCTTTTGATGATAGGAAAGGGGGCGACGATGAGTCTCTCTGGCTACTTCCTGCTGACTGGGGACATCGTCTACAGGGGCCCGCTGGGGGTATCTTGATGTTAATAAGCCTGAGAGGGTTCTTGCCTAATATTTAGAGAAGAATTCTAAATACTGGCACAGATAAACAAGGCAGCGTGGTACATTTTAAGCTTTTATTTAGTGCGAAAGATGCATAGGAGAGTGAGAGCTTTATCTAAGACGGCGAGGTAAATCTGGGTTCATACCAAGCACCAGGAACCAGCCATGTGGAGGAGCATCTAGGCCAGGAAGCCTAGGGCGGGTGGCCCGAAGGCCATACTACAGCAAGAGGCCAGGGCAAAGAAGAGAGAAGGAACGTACCATGTCCCAGGCTTTTAACCCACTTCCAAAGGGGAGTGGTTAATTAACCTGATTGGCCGGTGGGCACCCAGGTGTGGCCAGGAAGGGGCATGAAGTCACACAGGGGCGAGGCAAGGCGAAGGTATCAGGTAGGGCGCGAGGTCACACAGGGGCATGGTGAAGGTGTGGTCTTCCAGCTCACAAACATAATCAATTTTAACCTGTGGGCCTGCCTACTTCATTATCACCTGCTGCCTGCCTGAATGCACATCAGCAGGACACTGGAACAAGAAGCAGAGGAGCCAGACTTGAACCAGGCACTCTAACAGGGGAGGCAGGCATCCCAAGCAGCAACTTGTCCACCTTGGAAAATGCTCGCCCCGTTTTTCACTTTTAAATGAATAGTTGTCGGGGCTGGCGCTGTGGCATCTGTAGGCTAAGCCTCCACCTGAGGCACAGCATCCCATATGGGCGCCAGTTCATGTCCCAGCTGCTCCTCTTCTAATCCAGCTCTCTGCTCATGGCCTGGGAAAGCAGTGGAGGATGGCCCAAGTGATTGGGCCCCTACACCCATGTGGGAAACCTGGAGGAAGCTCCTGTGTCCGGGCTCCAGGTGAGGCCCAGCTCTGGCAGTTGTGGCCGTTTGGGGAGTGAACCAGTTGTTGAAGACCTTTCTGTCTGTCCCTTTCTCTCTGTGTCTGTGACTCTGCCTCTCAAATAAATAAATAAATAAATACAATCTTTAAAAAATAAGTGAATACTTGTTCATTTTTTTTTTTTACTGTATGAGTGTAAAACTATTTTCCACCATGGTTTCCATTTTACTTTCCCTGTTATGGGTGAGGGAGGCAAATGCCCTTTGCCAGCCAGAGCAGCCTCAGAAGGGGAATCCAAACCTGGGCCTTTCCCTTCCTTTCTCTCTTGCTCAATGCCTTGCGGGAGACTCTGGACTCAACAAGAACTCAAAAACCTTGACAGTGAGTGAGGCTGTGAGGAGTCAGATGGGTTAATAGGTAGGTTAATAGTCAGGGTGGTCCCAATGGAATTTGGGATGTAAAATATTTGCTTCCTTCCCCCCCCAAAAAAAGTTATCTGTAACAAGAACAAAGAGGCCACCCTCCTTCTCTCTGGAATCT